TAAGTATCTAAATTTCCCTTCTTTAAAAATTCTTGGAACCATAGATGCACCTTTTTTTATTGAAAGAATCATTTGAGGATTCAGTACATCTTTCACTCACATTTCCTTGTTGTTGTTGTCTTATATAGCGGAGCGTTTCCCTTTGAAAGTCGTCTTAATTTAATTTACGCTGAGCCTCAATTTGAGCAGTCTGTAAAATAAATAGTCTCTCTAATTTCTCAAACTGACTTTGAGAAATATGCCCCGATGGTATCGAAAATGAGGGAATTGAACTGGCGGTATGTGGATATTCCTTTAGACGTGCACCTTGGTGAGGGACAGGCTGACCAATAATAGGAATGCCGAACAGCGGCTGCACCCTGCAGTACTTCATATACTTTACTAGAGGCCAAAACGGGTCTTAATCTATCTGATTCACTTTCAAGATCAACTCTTTGAAATTGTTCTTCTAATACTTCGATTCTCGACTGGTAGCTTACTTGAGAAACTAAACTTTCTGAGTCAGAATCTCCTGCTACACGAACAATTCACCTGATGGTTCCGAGACTTAAACTCTATATACACAAGATATCCTACCTAAACATAATAGTAAAATAATAGTGATAATTACAAAATAGTGATAATAACGATAATAGTGATAATAACAATAATAGTGATAATAACGATAATAGTGATAATAACAATAATAGTGATAACGATAATAGTGATAATAACAATAATATTGATAACGATAATAGTGATAATAACAATAATATTGATAACGATAATAGTGATAATAACAATAATAGTGATAACGATAATAGTGATAATACCATGGTATTTTTCATATATTACCAGATAATAATATAACGCCGAAAGTCTCTATATTAGCTATAAACGGGGACTTTCGCGCTATAATATTAAGTGATGAACACATGCTCTTACAATATTTAAATAACACAGGATGACCAATTTCGAAGATATAACAAAATATATATATTATATATATATATATATATATATAAATATATATATATATATATATATATATATATATATATATATATAATATATATAATATATATATATATATATGACGCACGTGGGTATTTTGTGATTCAGATGACGCACGTGGGCAACTTTGCGTCACAGGTGACGCAGGTGGGTTTTTTACTTCTCTGGTGGGTCGTGACGGTGGGCGTGACGCCAGATGACGCAGGTGTTGTCGCGGCTGCCCGTCACTAAGACGTCACCAGTGTAACTCACTGCAGGGAGAAGATCTCTTCGTCATGGCCTCGCTCCTCCTGCGTCAGGAGATGTTAGGGAGGCTGTGGGGTTAGCATCTCTCCTCTCTCTCTCTCTCACTCCTCTCGTCTCTCTCTCCTCCTCTCTCTCTCTCCTCTCATCTCTCTCTCTCTGTCTCTCTCTGTCTCTCTCTCTCTCTGTCTCTGCTCTGTCTGTCTCTGTCTCTGTCTCTCTCTCTGTCTCTCTCTCTGTCTCTCTGTCTGTCTCTCTCTCTCTCTCTCTCTCTCTCTCTTTCTCACACACACACACACACACACACCACACACACACACACACACAACACACACACTCACACACACACAACAGGCCAAGTGTCTATCGATAAGTGCCTTTAACAACTAGTAACCACTACACACACACAATATTATATTATATATATATATATATATATATATATATATATATATATATATATATATATATATATATATATAATATATATATATTCAGCAACAAACTCCTTCCACACACACACACACAGGGGTCACAACTGGAAGCTGAAGACTCAGACGAGTCACAGGGACGTTAGGAAGTATTTCTTCAGTCATAGAGTCGTCAGGAAGTGGAATAGCCTAGCAAGTGAAGTAGTGGAGGCAGGAACCATACATAGTTTTAAGAAGAGGTATGACAAAGCTCAGGAAGCAGAGAGGGAGAGGACCTAGTAGCGATCAGTGAAGAGGCGGGACCAGGAGCTGAGTCTCGACCCCTGCAACCACAATTAGGTGAGTACACACACACACACACACACACACACACACACACACACACATAACAGACATATTTGACGCAGCTATGCCATAAATCGGGCCCAAGAGCTGGAGCTTAACCCAAATTAACCTCAGCTAGGTAGCAGACACCCACCTGAACACAGCGTCCATCGTGAGCGTCCCACAGCCTCAGGTAACCGTCCTCACCAGCAGTGATGACTCGCGTCCCAGCTGCGTTGAAGGCCACCTGTGGACCGTCTATACATCAATACAACGTAATACAACAAGGTTGGATGACGTTACATTCAAACACACCTCGATACAACGTAATACAACAACGCTGCAACGCTCTACGCTTAATTACACCGTAATACAAAAAAATACAACAAATTTATCGAGATAACAAAATTATTAATACACACAACATCGCTGCATTATACACGGCTTGTATTATACATCCTTCTGAGTCATTCAGTGCGGAAAATGATGAAGGCTCGATCCTTCGTCCACCAATAGAGTGGGAAACGTCATCTGCCTGAATGAATATAATGGGAACGGCAAAGACTAATGGGACCGGTAAAAAATCTAATGGGAACGGCAAAGACTAATGGGAACGGCAAAGAGTCTTATGGGAACAGCAAAGACTATAATAGGAACGGCAAACAGAATAACTTTAAAAGCAATAGGTACTTTCTATGTCACCTACGTCGTGAGAACGCCGGTTTATAAGGATCTGTGTCCATAGGTAACCCTCTACCTACCCACTGATGATCACAGTGACCTACTGACCTTGGTGACCTCTCCTCCATGGTCATCCAGCTGGAGTGTATGAGTGAGGGTGGGCAGGTGGAGCACATTAGCGGTCTTGTCCACCCCACCTGTCACCAGCTGCCGCCCACAGCTGTCCCACGCCCCCGACACCACCTGTGGTGGGACCATCAACACAAATTTGGAAAAAATACCCGGAAAGGGGTCAACAAGCCTTTTTTTCCTGTTTTAAAACTTTACCGCCCCCTTGTTAGGGGTTTTACCACTCAAATAAGGCCAAAATAAGCTCTTTCAAGACTGGGGCCTGATAAAAGCTTGGGGTATATAAAAAAGAGGGTAAATTGGGAAAAGAGGGAAAACATAATGCCGAATTTTTTTTTTGTTTAAAAACTGCCATGAAAAAAATACCCACAGTGTTGGGGGCTGGTAAAAGGGGGGAGTACCCCCCAGTTTGCTTTCTGTAAAGTGGGGGTAAACCCCCAGGGGGTTGCTGTAGGTGGGAAGTACCCCAAAAAGTGTGGTGCTGTGAGGTGGGGTACCCACAGTGGGTGCTGTAAGGGTGGGGGTAAACCCCAGTGTGGTCTGTAAAATGGGAGTACCCCCAGTGTGGTGCGTTTGGGGGGGAGTACCCACTTGTGGGGGGGTGTGGGGGTTTGGGGGTACCCCCCCGTGTTTTGGGGCGTAAGGTGGGATACCCACATGTGGGGGCGTAAAGTGGGAGGGACCCACAGTGTTGGGGCTGTGAGGGGGGGAGTACCCCCAGTGTGGTTTCTGTGAGGTGGGAGTACCCACAGTGTTTTCGCAGTAAAAAGGGGGGTACCCACAGTGTGGGGGCTGTGGGGGTGGGGGTACCCACAGTGTGGGGCGTAAAAAATGGGAGCCCCCAGTGTTTTGCTGTGAGGTTGGGGGTTTCCCACAGTGTGGTGCTGTAAGGTTGGGGGTACCCACAATGTGGGGCTGTAAAGTGGGAGTAAACCCCAGTGTGGGGCTGTAGGTTTGGGGGTAAACCCCCATTGGTGGGTGTGAGGTTTGGGGGACCCACAGTTTGGTTTCTGTAAGGGGGAAATACCCACATTTTGGGGCTGTAAATTGGGGGTACCCACATGTGGTGCTGTGAGGTGGGAGTACCCACAGTGTGGTTTCCGTGAGGGGGGGGAAGGGACCCCCCCAGTTTGCGGGTGGGAAAGTGGGGGGGTACCCACATGGGTGCTGTGAGGTGGGGGTACCCAAAAGTGTGGGGCTGTAAAGTGGGAGTACCCCAAGTGTGGTGCCCGGAGGTTGGGGGAAAACCCCCAGTGTTGCGTAAAGGGGGGAGTTCCCAAAAGTGTGGGGGCTGAAAGTGGGAGTACCCACATGTGGTGCTGTAGGTGGGAGTACCCACAGGGGTGGTGCTGTAGGTGGGAAATACCCACATGTGCGCCGTAAAGTGGGAGTACCCACAAATGTGGGGGCGTTTAGGTGGGAGTACCCCCATGTGGTGCTGTGAGGGGGAGTACCCACAGTGTGGGGGCTGTGGGGGTGGGAGTACCCACAGTTTGGGCTGTGAGGGGGAGTACCCACAGTGTGCTGCTGTAAAAGTGGGTACCCACAGTGTGTTCTGTTTAAAGGGGGGAGTTTTCCCACAGTGTGCTTTTCTGTAAGGTGGGGGGGTAAACCCCCAGTGGGCGCTGTAAGGGGGGGAAGTACCCACAAATGTGTTGGCTGTAAAAAGGGGGGAGTAAACCCCCAGTGTGGTTTTCTGTAAGGTGGGGGTACCCACAGTGGGGCTGGGTGTAAGTGGGAGTACCCACAGGTGGTTTTTTTGTAAGGGGGGGAGTTTCCCACATTTTGCTGCTTTTAAGGTTTGGGAAATTTCCCCAGTGTGTGCTGTAAGGTTTGGGAAAAACCCACAGTGTGCTGCTGGAAAGGGGGGGAGTATCCCCAGTGTGGCTTTAAGGGGGGTGGGGAAAATTTTTCCCACATTTTGGTGCTGTAAGGTGGGGGTCCCACAAAGGGGTTTTCTGTAAGGTGGGAGTACCCACATGTTGCCGCCTTTTGGTTGGGGGGTAAAACCCACAGGTTGGGGCGTAAGGGTTTGGGGGTACCCACAATGTGTTGCCCGTAAAGGGGGGAGTAAACCCCCAGTGTTGGGTTCGAAGGTGGGGGGGACCCCCCCAGGGGGTTGCTGTAAAGGGGGAGTACCCACAAAGGGGTTGCCCGTAAGGTGGGGAAAACCCAAAAAAAACCGTGGGTTGGGTGTAAGGTTGGGGGGTACCCACAGGGTGCTGCTGTAAGGGTGGAGTACCCACAGTGTGCTGCTGGGAGGTGGGAAAAACCCACATTTGGGTGCGTAAGGGGGATACCCACAGTGGGGCTGCTGGGAAGGGGGGAGGAGCCCACAGGGGGCTTTCTGTAAGTGGGGAGTTTCCCACAGTGTGGGGGCTGGTAAAGGGGAGTACCCACAGTGTGTTGCTGTAAGGTGGGAGTTTCCCCACAGTTGGGCGCTGTAAGGTGGGGAGTACCCAATGTGGTGTGTAAGGGGGGGAGTACCCCCAGTGTTTGCTGTAAGGTGGGAGTAAACCCCCAAGGGGGTTTCTGTTGTAAGGGTGGAGTACCCCATGTGTTGCTGTAAGGGGGGGAGTAAACCCCCAATGTGGTGCTTTTAAAAGGGGGGAGTACCCCCAGTGTGGTGCTGTAAAAGGGGGGAGTCCCCCCAGGGGTTTGCGTAAGGTGGGGGTCCCCCCAGTGTGTTTTCTGTAAGGGGGAATACCCACATGGTGCTGCGTAAGGTGGGAGGGAAACCCCCAGTGTGGTGCGTAAGGTGGGGGTACCCACAGTGTGTTTTCTGAAAGGTTTGGGGGTACCCCCCAAAATGTTTGCTGAAAGGTGGGGGTACCCCCCGTGGGGCGCCCGTTAAAGGGGGGAGTACCCACAGTGTGCTGCGTGAGGTGGGGGGACCCAAGTGTGCTGTTGTAAGGTGGGAGTACCCCAGTGTGTTGCTAAGGGGGGAAAAACCCACAGTGTTGGTTTCCCGGGAAAATGGGAGTAACCCCCAGGGGGGTGCTGTAAAGGGAGTACCCACAGTTTTGGGTGTTGTAAGGTGGGGGGCACCCACAGTGGTTTTTGTAAGGTGGGTAGTACCCCCCATTTTCGGTTTTAAGGTGGGGGTACGGGGCCCCCCGGGGTGTTTGCCGGGGAAGGGGGGATAAACCCCCAAAAGGGGGTTGGGTGTAACGGTTGGGGGGTAAACCCACAGTGGGGCTGCGTAAAAGGGGGGAGTACCCAAAGGGGTTGCTGTAAAGTGGGAGCCCCATGTGCTTTCTGTAAGGGGGGAGTACCCCAGTGTGGGTGCTGTAATGGGATAACCCACATGTGCTCTGTAAGGTGGGAAATACCCCGGTGTCTGCTGTAAGGTGGGAGTAACCCCCATGGGGTTCGGAAGGTGGGGGTACCCACAGTTTGGTTTTTCCTTTTAAGGGGGAGTACCCACGTGTGCTGCGTAAGGTTTGGGGGCACCCCCCAGGTTTCTGCTGTAAGGTGGGAGTAAACCCCCAGGGGTGCTGGGTGTAAGGGGAGTACCCACAGTGTGCTGCTGTAAGGTGGGAGTACCCCCATGTGGCTGTAAGGGGGAGTACCCACCCGTTTGCTGCTGTAAGGGGGGAACACCCCCAGTGGGGCTGCAGGTGGGGGTACAGGGGATTTCATGGTGAGAAGGCGGGGTAGTGGACAAAAAGAAAGGGGTTGGGGGGGTGGGGGGTCAACCACCACCTCAGGGGTCCCTGGTGAAGGGGGTGGGGGACAGTGTGGGGGTTCGCAGGGCCCACAGGGAAACACAGGGGGGTCGGTTTTCCCCCGGAGGCCCAGGTAAACTAACCCCCCCAAACTCAGGCAGCGGGCCAATTAACCTCCCCCTGGTTTGCCCCCAGGGTCTCCCCCGGGTTTCCCGGCAGAGGACGATCAGGTTCTATTTTCGCCAGGTTTTTTCCCAGCCAAAATTGGGGATTTAATTTTCCCCACCAAACCCCGGGCCGGGGGGACCTAATTTCTTCAATATAGAAAGGGCCTTGGGAAAATTATTTTTAAAGTGGGAAAAAGGGTCAGGAAGGCCTGGGGGTTTCTATTTTGGAGAAAAGGGCATGGGGAAACCTAGTTACTATGGTTGAGAGGTCCAGGGGAAAACCCCGGGGTTTCTATGGGGAAAAGAGGTCAGGGGAAACCTAGTTTCCTATGGTAGAGAGGTCATGGAAACCTAGTTTTTCTTGTAGAGAGGGCATGAAACCTAGTTACTAAAGGTAGAGAGGTCAGGGGAAACCCCAGTTACCATGGTAAAGAGGTCATGGGGAAACCCAAATTTCATGGGAGAAAAGGGCAAAGGAAGCCATTACTATGGAAGGGGTCATGGAAGCCTAGGGAAATAAAGGTTTGAGAATCATGGGAACCCCAGTTAAATTTTGGTTAGATAGACGGGGTTTACCTAGTACACTAGGGTTAAAAGGAAATTATTTTTTTTTTTATTTGAGGCCCACTTACTCCCTTTGGGGGTTACAACTTTATTAAAAACCCCAAGCTACTTAAATTTGGGCTTTCAAAAGGCGCTGACTGAGTCCCACATGGGGGGACTGAGTCTACATGGGGCCCGACTGAGTTTTACAAGGTGCAAATGATCTAAAAAGGGGGGACTGAGGGGCTACAAGGGGCTGACTGAGCATACCCAAAAGGGCTGACCCGAGTCTACAAGGGGCCGGGCTGGGTCTACAAGGTGGGTGGGCGGAGGTCTACAACATCTTCCCCTGAATATCTATCTACTCTAGCACACAGTCGCGGGTTTCGGGGGGCGTCCCAAAAGCCTGACAGACCGTCGAAGGGGGGGCGGTGTAGAGGGGGGGTGACCTGACCTGGGCGGGCGGGCCCCCGCCCACCACTGGCCCCCCCCGGGCCGACAGCTCTGACACGCCAAATCACCGTTTGGGGAAAAAAAAGCTTTTGACCAACTTTAAAAGACTGTTGATTTTTTCCCTTTTCCCTTTCCCACTCAGTTTCCCCCTTTAAAAAATTTTCTGTATACAATTCGCCGACTTGACACGGAAAAGATCGGACAGTCTTATAACACGTACAGAAGGCAAAGGACCTATACCCCGTTTCAGATTTCGCACCTTTTGATACATAAAAGATATACGAAAACTTTATGACACAGACTTTATGACATATAGATAATCCCGACCTTTACACACAGACAAAATTACACTTTCAGGACATACGGACACAAAGGCACGACACCTGACTCCTAGGGGATAAAACACTTACAGACACACAGACATATGACACTTACGCCCAGCCCCAGGACAAAACACAGACATAAAGACACTTACAGAAAACAAGACAAATTACAAACACATGGCACACACAGACACAAAGACACAGAACCCTGGCACTTACAGACACACAACACAAAGATATACATACAACAGGCCCGACAGACAGACAGACAGACAGAAAAGACAGAAAAACAAAACACACACACACACACACACAAAACACACACACACACACACACACACACACACACACACACACACTATTGGGTTTAAAAAGACCCCATCTGTGGGCCTCTTTACAACAGTCTTAAACAAGGACTATGATTTTAAGGAAGAAATTTAATGCGAAAGGGACACTGCCGGGAAAGGCCCAAATGGCCCCTGCTAGGCCTTTTTATTGAAGTTTTTGTTTGACTGACCCAATTTAGGGGCCCAGACCCTGCGGTTGGGGAAAAACCCCAAAAAAAGGGGGCCCCCCGGTGATGAGGGAGTGTCTACAGGAAGGGGATGGGGGGCCAAATACCCACCAAATGGGGCCCCCCGTGGCCCCTAGTAGTAAACACAGAAACCCCCTCGAGGGGCTCCCACAGACCACCGTACCGTCGAAGCTGGGGAAGGGTCGGGCACCAACCCTCACTTTTGGGGGGGGAGGGGGGGAGGAGGGGGGGTAGAGAAGGGGTGGTTTGGGGAAAAAGGGTGAAGGGAGGAAAAGGGGAAGGGGGGGGGGGAAAGAAGGGGGGAAAATTTAGGGGGGGGGGTAAAAGGAGGATTAGGGAAAAGGGGGTGGAGGAAGAGTGAAGGGGGGAAGGGAGGGGAAAAGGAAAAAAGGGGGAAAGAGAAGAGGGCAAGAGAGGGAGGGAAAGGAAAAAAAGGTAAGGAAAGGGGGGGAGAGTAAGGGAAAAGCGAGAGAGGGAAAGGGGGGAAAGGGGGGATAAGGAAGGGAAAGGGGAGTGAGGGAGGAAAAAAATGTAAAAAAAGGAATTGAAAAAGAAACAGGTTTTTTTTTTAAAAAAAATAACTCGGAAACAAAAACAAAACAATCAAAAACACTTGGCCATCTTCACCACACTGGGAACCCAGGCGGGGGCTCAGTTTCCTACGCCAAGGGTTTAAATGGAGACACCTACCGCGTTTAAACCCCCGAAGGGACGTTTAAAAACGATGTCCCTTTATGTCCTTTTAAGTGAAATTCAGGGCCTCCGGTTTGCAGTCCTCCAGATCCCACACTCCCGGCGAAAAATCCCTGGGGCCCGGGCCACCTGACGGGGACACTGTTGTTTTTGGGGATGGTCCATTGTTTTGGGTTGTCCCGGGGGGGGTTGTGGGTGGTTGTTGTCCCGTGATGGCTGTTGTTAGTGGAGGGCTGTTGTTTAGTGTTGGGGGGATTGTTAGTGGGTGGGCTGTTGTTTTTGCCCGGTCTGTTTTTAGTGTCTTTTGGCCTTTGTTAGTGATCTGTTGTTAGTGATATCTGTTGTTTTAAAATGATGGTCTGTTTTTTTGTGTGGGTCTGGTTTGGGTTTGTGATGGTCCGGGTTTTTTAGTGTTTGGGCTGTTTTTTAGTGAGGTCTGTTGTTAGTGGGTGTCCCGTTGTTTTGTGATGGGCTGTTTTTAGTGACGGTCTGTTTTTAGTGATGGTCCGTTGTTGGTGGGTGGGCTGTTGTTAGCGATTTTGGGCTGTTTGTTAGTACTGGTATGTTTTTAGTGAAAGATCTTGTGTTAGTTTCTGGTCCTTTTTGGGTTTGTGACGGTCTTTTTGTTTTGGGGCTTTGGGCTGTTGTTAGGGGGAAGATCTTTGTTAGTGATGGTAATTTTTTTGATTTCTTTTGTTAAATGGGTGGTCTGGTTGTTTTGTGATTTGGGCTGTTGAAAGTGATGGTCTTTGTTAGGAAAGGTCTTTTATTTTGTGAAGTTTTGTTGTTTGTGCTGGGGCTGTTGTTAGGATGGGCTGTTTTAAACGATGGGCTGTTTTTTATACGGTCGGTTGTTAGTGATGATCTTTGTTTGTGCTTGGCTTTGTTAGTTTATTTGGGCTGTTGGTTTGTGATGGTCCCTTTGTTAGTGATGGTCCGTTGTTAGTTTTGACTGTTTGGGTTTTTGTTTAAACTGAAAAGGTTTTGCTGGTCTGTTTGTTAGGATGGGAATGATTGTTTGGGGCTTTTTCTGGTTTTTTATGATCGTCTGTCGTTAGTTATCGTCTGTTGTTTTGATGGTCTGTTGTTAGTGCTGTCTGTTGTTAGTACTGGTCTGTTGCAATGTTTTTCTGTTAGTGCTCAGTAACACACACACACACACACACACACACACACACACACACACACACACACACACACACACACACACCTAAAGCTGAACATCTCTCAATGTATATACACTGAGAAGTGTATATACATATCTCCGTGTACATGCAATGAAAAGTGTGTATCTGTCAAGATTGATGGACTGAACACATCGACTCAAGGTTGAGGGACTGATTACCTCATTCTCCTCCTGTTCTTCAAGTTTCTCCTATGTATGGACTGATGAAGCCACTGTGTTGCGAAACGTTTCCTCAATAAAGATACCCAAGAGTTGCACATGTGTCTAATTTATCAACATGTCGGTTCTCTGAACCATTCATCTACAAATCTGTCAGTGTATATACACAGAGAGATACAGCGTATATACTCTGAGTGGTGTATATATCTCAGTGTAAATACACAGCAAGCACTCACAGAGTGGCGTCCTTGTTGAGTGCAACATTGGTGAGAGGGAGTATGTGGGCGCGGAGGGTGGTAGCGTGGGCGTAGGTGCGGTGGGTGGAGGCGTGGAGGGCGTGTATGAGGCGACCCACCAGGCGCTCAACGCGCTCTCGCTGACCCAGGGAGCTCTCTTCCTGGACCATCACCTTTGTCGTCACCTCTGACACGTCGGAGCTGTGGAAAGTGAGCCACAGGCTCGAAACAGCGTGTGATGCTCTACGTAGAGGGAAACGTTGTGTGTGTGACGTGTAATTTTTAATTTAGTTACCTATTTGTAGGAAAGAAAATGATAATAATAATACCAGTCATAATAATAATAATAATTACAATAATAATTACAATAATACGAATAATAATTACAATAATAATAAAGATGATTACAAAAACAACAACAACAACAACAATAATAATAATAATAATAAATAATAATAATAATAATAAAAAAAATAATAATGATAATAATAATAATAATAATAAAAAATAATAATAATAATAATGATAATAATAATAATAATAATAATAATAATAATAATAATAATAATAAAAATAATAATAATAATAATAATAATGATAATGAAATAGTAATAATAATAATAATGATAATAATAATAATAATAATAATAATAATAATAAATAATAATAATAAATAATAATAATAATAAAAATAATAATAATGATAATAATAATAATAATAATAATAATAAGATAATAATAATAATAATAATAATAATAATGATTAATAAATAAAAATAATAATAATAATAATAATAATAATAATAAAAATAATAATGATAATAATAATAATAATAATAATAATAATAATAATAATAATATAATATAAGAAATAATAATAATAATATAAAATTTTATAATAATAATAATAATAATAATAATAATAAATGATAATGATAATAGTAATAATAATAATAATAATAATAATAATAATTTAACAGTTTGATTAAAAAATCAATTTTCTAGTTGATCGTTCGAAATTTGAATAATTTAGATGACACAATATTCCCAGGTAATATTTTAGCACTCACGATTACGTAGTCTGAAGGAAAAAAAATTAATCTAGTCAGGAAACTTATTTTCCTGACGAACAAAACACCAGCAGCAGCAGCAGCAGCAGCAGCAGCAGCAGCAGCAGCAGCAGTGAGTGACATGGGTGAGTCTGCTTACCCAGGTTACTCACAGAGGAGGCTGCTCACGGTCTACTGAGAGGTTACTCACGGGAGGTTACTCACTCAGGTCGTAGGTCGAGTAGGTTGACCTCTCTACGGCAGAGTGCTCCACCCTGAGGGTCAGCCAACTCGAAGGTCAGCCCTGTGGATGTTGGGGGAAGGTGAGGATGGGTGAGTGATGACGGGTCAATGATAGGTTTTAGGTGAATAGTGGGTGAAGGATGAGTGAATGATAGGTGGATGATGAGTTAATGATGGGTAAATGATGGGTGAAGGTAAATGTTAAAACTGGTCAATTAGCAAGAACTCATTTAAAAAAAATTTCTTATAAGTTTAAAGATATATTTTTTTCATTAATGTTAATGTAAAAATTTTTAATTTTGCACCAAAAGATTCTTAGAAAACTTACCTAACCTTATAATAACAAGAACAATTTATTTTAGCCTAACCCAACTAAATATATTTTAGATAAGTTTACAATAATTTAATACTAAACAAACACAGTGAAACATATTTTTTTCGTTTTGGGTTTAGAATGATTTGGCGAAATTTTTTGCATACACAAATTTTCACTTGTCCTATAAAGGCAAGACGAGCGTTGCTATTTAAGCCAAGATCGCAAGTTCTGCCTATTCGCACGACATATATATAAAATTTTATATATATATAATATATATATATATAAAATATATAATATATATATATATATATATATATATAAATATCGTAAAGCGAGTGATACAGGATGCAAAACAACCACGGGGGGAGTAGAATGATAGGCCTTTCGTGTTGCAATCAACACATCATCAGGAGCTTGCAAAGTTACAGAAAACAGGAGGTTGCCGAGCTAATACGATCTCAGAGGATGTAATCATGTATGCATACATAGACTCACACATACATACATAGATAGGTAGACAGATAAATAGATAGAGGGGTGAGTCGAGTGAGGGTAGTAGTGGCCCTGAATATCTATCTACTGCAATAGACCTGTGGAGTCAGTACCACCCTGACCATGCGAGGGGGAGGACGTGCACTGCTGTCTTAACCCAACACACGTTTATGTCCTTCCTCTCTTAAAAACGTCAAACCTTCGGGCAGTTCTTGGGGTGACTCAGCGGGCCCAGACCAGAAGGTACGATACACTGAAATATATTGACTTATATCGCTTATTATGGGTCTGTTGGGTGAAATTTTGAACTGACGATTTCAAGGCTAGTGAAGAGGCTCTTGATTCAAGGATCTGGAGTTAGGCTGCTCCTAGACTCACGCTTAATTGGTTATCCCAGGCTAAATAGACATAATAAAAACCTACGATGTATACAATAAACTACGCTCTAAAGTGCTTGTGCAAAATATATATATGCCGAGGGAGGTGTATATATTCTGTATATACAGAGAGGTGTATTTCTGTGTATATACACCCAGAATTTATTTTAATACTTATTTTAGGTATTATTCTTGTCTGGTGGTAAAGGGTCTTAACTACTCTGGTGTAGTAGATAGGCTTGAAACCCCGTTAGCGATTAAAAGGGAGGTAGGTTCCTTCATATGGGGCTCGTGATCCAAGGGAATGGATTAATCTTTTATTTGGGTGTAATTGCTTACCTCCCATTCTCTAGGAACTGTGACTCCTGCGGATTTAGCGCTTCCCCATTAATAATTACAGTATAATAATTCATATAATGATTATTATAATTGTCAATAATAATTACTATACCCATTGAGGATATTCAGTGGGCAATAGGAGGTAATGAATGTTGATCCGAGGAAGGGGAGGGAAAGGGCTCTTGATCCAGGGAAATGAATGTTGGGCAAATATTGTTAGTGGGTTGGATTTGTGTAGGACGTGCCTAGTATGGGCCAGCAGGCCTGATGCAGTGTTCCTCCTTTCTTCTGTTCCCTTGGATCACACCTGATCATCCTACCATTACTCAGCCGCTGTTCGACCCCTACGGGTTTAGCCCTTCCACGCTAAGAATAAAATACTAATGATAATAAACTGACATTAATACTACTACTGCTACTACTACTACTACTGCTACTACTACTGCTACTACTACTACTACTACTACTAAATACTACTACTTGCTACTACTACTACTACTGCTACTACTACTACTACTACTACTACTACTACTACTGCTACTACTACTACTACTACTACTACTACTACTACTACTACTGCTACTAAATACTGCTAACTAACTACCACTACTATACTGCTACACTACACTACTACTGCTACTACTACTACTGCTTCCCACCGCTACTACTACTACTGCTACTACTACTACACTACACTACTATACTCTACACTACTGCTACACTACTACTACTACTACGCTACTACTACTACTACTCTAAAACTACTAAAATACTTTTACG